GGCTTCTCCTCTCCCCCCCTCAGCAGCTCTAGTCCACTTTGAGGAGGTCGGAGTTGGCCTTCAGGAGGTAGAGGCTGTCGTCCATCAGGAAACTGGGGGACAAATGGGGGGTTATGGGGGGAGTTCTTGGGTCCACAACCCTCCCCAGCTGCCTGTGCCGGGTGGGAAAGGGGGGAGTGGGGGAGCCCTGAACCCCCCCACTGAGCACAGACACACCCTGGGGCTCAGGGGGTGCAGCCATGGGGTCCCTCCCAACACCCCACTGCAAACTCAGGGGGGGCCCCAATTTCAAGAGGGGGCCACTGGGCCACCCCACGGACCAAAGGGCACCCCAACCTCAAGAGGGGGACCCCACAGCCCCAGCACCTCAGCTTTAAAGATGAGACTCCCACCGCCCCAGGGGAGCCACAAGTCCCCCCCAAAAACCCCGCATTGAAGCGACGGGACCCTCGGCCCCCACGGTGCCCCCTCCCCCCGATTTCAAGCGGGGAGGGGTCGTCACGGACCTGTAGAAGAGCACGTTGAGGGGGATGGTCCCGATGTGCCAGAGCGCGTGGGCGTCCAGCACCCAGAGCAGGGGCGGGAAGTCCAGGAGCTCCAGCAGCGCCAGCGCCTGGAGCAGCAGCACCGCGGCCGCGCATTTCCACACGTGCGGGAGGCGCCGGCCGTGCCCCAGGCACCAGCGCAGCCACCAGCCCACCGTCAGCATTCCTGGGAAAACGGGGCGGGGAAAGGGTCAGGGGGGGACCCAAGCACGGGCAGCATTCCTGGGAAAACAGGGCACTCAGGAATAGGGTGGAACCCACGCCCCCCCAGTCAGCATTCATGGGAAAATGGGGCGGGGAAAGGGTCAGGGTGGGACCCAACCACGGGCAGCATTCCTGGGAGAATGGGGGGGAAAAGGGTCGTGAGGGGGACTTAAACCACGGGCAGCGTTCTTGGGAAAACGTGGGGGGTGGGAAAAGGGTCGAGGGGGGAGGGGACCTAAACCACGGGCAGCATTCCTGGGAAAATAGGACACTTAGGGACAGGGTGAGACCTAATCCCCTGTCAGCATTCCTCGGAAAATGGTGGGGGGGGAAAGGGGTCACGAGGTGACCCAACCATGGGCAGCATTCCTGGGAAAATAAGGCACTCAGGGACAGGCTGGAACCCAGCCCCCCAGTCAGCATTCCTGGGAAAACAAGGGGGATTTGGGAACACGGGGGGGGGGGGCACCCATCCCTGTGTCACCATCCCTGTGTCACCATCCCTGTGTCACCATCTCTGGGCAAACGGGGGGCTCAGGGACAGGGGGGGCACCGAGTGACCCCCAACACAGCCCCAGCATGGCCCAGTGGCTCCCAGTACAGCCCAGCACCCCCCAGCCCAGCCCAAGTGACCCCCAGTGCCCCCCAGTGCCCCCCAGCTCACCCAGGGCCGCGTTGGCCGCCAGGTTGTAGCCGTAGTCGAAGCGCACGAGGCTCAGGTAGGAGATGTGGCAGGTGAGGAAGAGGAGGAGGAAGGCCCTGAAGATGCTGATTAAGGCTGGGCGCTGCAGCCCCAGCGTCCTAGGGGGACAGGGGGTGGGGGGTGGCCCAGTGAGCCCCAAGGATGGCCCAAGGACCCCCCCAGTATGGCCCAGTGACACCCAAACTGGCCCAACAGAGCCCAGCACCTCCCCCAGCAAAGTCCAGTGGCTCCCCAGTGTGGCCCAGTGACCCCACTACACAGCCCAGCACCTCCCAGCACGGCCCACCAGTGCCCACCAGTATGGCCTGAGTGACCCCTAACGCAGCCCCAGCATGGCCCTGTGACCACCAGTACAGAACTGGCACGGCCCAGTGACTGCCCAGCACGGTGCAGTGACCCCCAGTAAAGAACTGGCATGGCCCAGTGACTGCACAGCATGGCCCAGTGGCCCCCTAGAATGGCCCAGTAACTCCCAGTACAGCCCAGCACTTATCAACCCAGCTGCAGTTGGACCCAGTGCCCCCAGTGCCCACCTGACACAGCACAGGTACACCGAGTGCAGGACGGCGGCCGAAGCGCAGAAATAATCCAGTTTCTGTGGGATTTGGGGTGGATGAGCCCAACTGGCAGCAGGGGTGGGGTGGCAGGGGTCTGACACCCCCAAGGGGGGGGAAAAGGGACCCTCCCAGGGTGTGGGGACACCCCAGGGTGTCACCCCCTCACCTCCGTCAGCGCCGTGTCCCGCGTGTGGAAAACCGTGGACCAGAACCAGGCATTTAAGGAGACCTGGGAAAGGGGGAAAGGTGGGACTGGGGATGGGGATGAGGGTCAGAACCCCACACACCCCCCAGGTCAGGACCCCCCCAGTTTGGGGGACGAGGGCCCTGAGAGTGGGATGGGAGTGATGGAGGAGCTGGGTGGGATCAGCTGGTTATGGAAAAGAGCTGGGGAAAGGGGAGGGGAAATGGGATGTGGAAAGGGGAAGTGGAAAGGGGGGGACAAGAGGGAAAGGGAAGGGGGGAAAGGGAAAGGGAGGGGGGAAAAGAAGAAAGGGGAGAAAGGGAAAGGGGAAAAAGGGAAAATGTTAGAAAGGAAAAGGGGAAAACAGAAAGGGAAAAGGAGAAATGGGAAAAAAGGAAAGGGGAAAAGGAAAAAGGGGAAAAGGGAAAGGGTGAAAAGGGAACAGAGAAAGGGGGGAAAAGGAAGGAAATAAAGGAAGGGAAGAAGGAAGGGAAGGGAAAGGGAGAGAAGAGTGAGGGAAAGGAGGGGAAAAGGGAGGAAAAGGAGGGGAAAAGGAAGAGAAAGGAGGGGGAAAGGAAGGGAAAGGAGGG